AAGACAAATAAATACCCCAGTCATCAAATGGGCAAAGGACTTGAATAAACATTTCACCAAATAGGACATTAAGATGGCCACCAAACATAAAAAGATGCTCAACATCATTAGCCATCAGAGAGATGCAAATCAAAACCACGATGAGATACCATCTCACTCCCATTACAATGACCTAGTGGCACAGTGGTTAAAGCGTTTGGCTGGTAAACAAAAGGTCAGTGGTTTGAACCCACCAGCCACTATGTGGAAGAAAGATATGAGAATCTGCTTCTGTAAAGATTTACAGCTTTGGAAACCATATGGGGCAGTTCTACTCTGTCCTGTAGGGTCACTGTGAGTTGGAATTAACTCGATGGCAATGGATTTGATTTTGGTTTGGTCTGGTGGCGCAGTGGTTAAGAGCTCAGGCTACTAACCCAAAGGTTGGCAGTTCATATCCACCAGCCGTTCCTTGGAAACTCTATAGGACAGTTCCACTCTGTCCTGTAGGGTCGCTATGAATTGGAATCAACTCGACAGCAATGGCTTTGGGTTTTTTTTTTTTTTTTAAGATAAAAAATAACAAATATTGCTGAGGATGTGGGGAAATTGGAAACCTTATCCATTCTGATGGGAATGCAAAATGGTACAGTCATTGTGGAAAATAGTGTGGTGGTTCCTCAAAAAACTAAAAATAGAATTACTATGTTAGGTGTTGTTAGATGCCATCGACTCGGTTTCCAACTCATAGCGACCCTATGTACAACAGAATGAACCACTGCCTGGTCCTGCGCCATGCTCACAATTGTTATGCTTGAGCCTGTTGTTGCAGCCACTGTGTCAATCCATCTCATTTAGGGTCTTCCTCTTTTTTGCTGACCCTCTACTTTACCAAACATGATATCCTTCTGTTGGGACTAATCCCTCCTGATAACACGTCCAAAGTACGTAAGACAAAGTCTCACTATCCTTGCATCTAAGAAGCATTTTGGCTGTACTTCTTCCAAGACAGGTTTGTTTGTTCTTCTGGCAGTCCGTGGTATATTCGATATTCTTCGGCAACACCGTAATTCAAAGACATCAATTCTTCTTCGGTCTTCCTTATTCATGGTCCAGCTTTCGCATGCATATGAAGTGATTGGAAATACCATGGTGTTATAGATTGAATTGTATCTCCTAAAAATGTGTGTCAACTTGGCTAGACTAAGATTCCCAATATTATGTGATTTCCACCATTTTGTCATCTGATGTGATTTTCCTATGGGTTGTAAATCCTACCTCTGTGATGTTAATGAGGCAGGATTAGAGGCAGTTACGAAATGAGGCAGGACTCAGTCTAGAAGATTAGGTTGTATCTTGAGTCAGTCTCTTGAGATATAAAAGACACAAGTGAGCAGAGAGACAGGGGAACATTATTACACCAAAAAAGTAGTGCCAGGAGCAGAGTACTTCCTTTGGGCCTGGAGTCCCTGCACTGAGAAGCTCCTAGAACAGGGGAAGATTGATAACAAGGACCGTCCTCCAGAGCCAACAGAGAGAGAAGGCGTTCCCCAGGAGCTGGTGCCCTGAATTTAGACTGTGAGGGAATAAATTTCTCTTTGTTAAAGCCATTCACTTGTGGTATTTCCGTGACAGCAGCACTAGATAACTAAGACATATGGCTTGAGTCAGGCACACCTTAGTCCTTAAAGTGACATCTTTGCTTTTTAACACTTTAAAGAGATCTTTTGCAGCAGATTTGCCCAATGCAATACGTCATTTGATTTCTTGACTGCTACTTCCATGGGCATTGATTATGGATCCAAGTAAAATGAAATCCTTGATAACTTCAGTATTTTTTCCATTTATCATGATGTTGCTTATTTGTCCAGCTGTATTTTTGTTTTCTTTATGTTGAGGTGCAGTCCATACTGAAGGCTGTAGTCTTTATCAGTGAGTGCCTGAAGTTCCTTTTGCTTTCAGCATGCAAGGTTGTGTCCTCTGCATATCGCGGATTGTTAATGAGTCTTCCTCCAATCCTGATGCCCTGTTCTTCTTTATATAGTCCAGCTTCTTGGATTATTTACTCAGCATACAGATTGAATAAGTATGTTGAAAGAATACAACCCTGATGCACACCTTTCCTGACTTTAAATCACAAAGTATCCTCTTGTTCTTTTCGAACAACTGCTTCTTGGTCTATGTACAGTTTCCTCAGGAGCACAGTTAAGTGTTCTGGAATTCCAGTCTTTGCAGTGTTATCCATAATCTGTTATGATGCACACAGTTGAACTACAATGTGACCCAAAAAATCTACTCCTAAGTATATACCCAAAAGACTTGAAAGCAGAGACTCAAACAGAGACTTGTATAACAATGTTCATTGCAGGACTATTCACAATAGCCAAAAGGTAGAACGACCTAAATGCCCATCAACAGATGAATGGATAAACAAAATGTGATGCATACATAAATGGAATACCACTTAGCCAGTAGGAGAAATGAAGTCTTGATACATGCTACAATATGGATGGCGCTTAAAGACTATGCTGAGTGAAATAAGTCAATCACAAAAGGACAAATATTGTATGACCTCACTTACATAAAAAGACAATAAAAGACCAAAGTTTATTAGTGGTTACAAGGAGTGGGAGGGAGGGGAAAAGGGGGGTTAGCGGTGATGGAAAAATCACATCGATTAAGGGTAGGGTTGCACAGCTGATTATTGTAATTGCTGTCAATAAGGAGCCCTGGTGGCTTAGTGGTTAAGAGCTCGGCTGCTAACCAAAAAGTCAGCAGTTTGAATCTACCAGCTACTCCTTGGAAACTCTACGGGGCAGTTCTACTCTGTCCTGTAGGCTCGCTGTGAGTTGGAATTGACTCAACGGTAATGGGCTTGGGGTTTGGTGTGGTTTGCTGTCAATAAGTTGTATACCTGTTAAAAGTTGTATTGGCAAAAGTTGTGTGATAGGTATATTTGTAACAACTACAGAAAAAAAAAAAGTAGCTGCTGAGGCTGCTTATATACAGTCAAAAACCTCATGGGATTTGGTTCCTTGGTTTGGAGGTTTAGGGTCATGGTTTTGTGGGATGTCCCAGTTACTTTGCCTAATAATGTGTTTAGTGTTTCTTTTCTACCTCATAGTTGATTGTGTAGAACCTAGTGTCTTAACAACTTGTAAGTGGCCATCCAAGGCACAACAGTTGGTCTCTATTAGCCTGGAGCAATCAATAGAGGAAGAAGGAAAGTCAGTAATAGAAAGAGGATATGGAATGTGTGGCTAATTGCCTCCGTGAACAACTGCTACCTTTGCATGAGACCAGAAGAACTGGATGGTGCTGGGCTGCACTAAACATTTTAATCAAGGATTCTATAGAGGAATCCTGATCAAAATGGGGAAAGTGCAGAACAGAATTTCAAATCCTCATGGACCCCAGACTTTCTGGAACCATGGAAGTTGAATGAATCCCTGAAACTATTGCCCTGAGATAATCTTTAAACCTTAAACCAAAAATATCCCCTGAAGTCTTCTTAAAACCAAACAATAGTTTAGCTGAACTAATTAAAAATGTCTGCCTTGAGCATTATGCTCTTTTAAGAAATATCTAAATAGGATCAAATTGCCGACAGCAACTTGAAAGATTCTATAGGAACCTTAGAGAGCAGTGAGTTTATGTTAATTGGGGAGAAAGAACTCAGAAAAGGAGGGTGAGAATGGTTGCAGAACTTAAAGAATGTAATCAGTGTCACTGAATTGTACATGTAGAAGTGATTGAACTGGTGTATGTTTTGCTGTGTATATTCTCAACAACAACAAAAAATAAATAAAAAATTTTAAAAATTTGCACAGGGGTTAATGTCAGTATTTGGCAGTACTTATCAGTGTGAGAAGACATTTTCAAAGATGAAATATATAATTATATATCTAATTATATAATTATATATATATAATATATATAATTATATCTAATTATAGATCAGCATTAATAGATGAACATTTGTAATCAATATTGATGATAGGCTGCTGAGGTTCACCCTTCAGCCAAAGATTAGACAACCCCATAAAACAAAACGAGACTAATGGGGCACAGCAGCCCAGGGAGAAGGACTAGAAGGCAAGACGGGACAGGAAAGCTGGTAATAGGGAACCCAAGGTCAAGAAGGGAGAGTGTTGACATGTCGTGGGGTTGTTAACCAATGTCATAAAAACAGTATGTGTACTAACTGTTTAATGAGAAACTGTTTGTTCTGTAAACCTTCATTTAAGGTACAATGAAAAAAATTATAAAAAAAAATTGATGATAGGCTATATTGTCTTTGAACACTAATTAAGTGAAATGTTATCCCCACAAAAATGAATTCCATTCTTATTAGTAATCTGCATTATAAAAAAAACTGTACTCAATTGTTATATTTTAAATTTTATCAATAAAATATTTTTGAAAATTTGTTTATCTCTTGTTACATAGATACCTACAAAACATTCTTTGTTTTGCCTGTGGGCCCACAAAGCTTAAAGTATTTACTGTCTGGCCCTTTACAGAAAAAGTTTACAAGTCCCTGCTCTAATACATGTTGTGTAATTAAAGAAGGGCTAATGCAAAAGTTATTTTATGATAATTACAACATTTGGCATAACACTTTTCTGCTTTCTATAATCTCTGGCCCTGAGGGAAAATATTAGAACTCAGAACCATCACAAATTAATGAAATAGGAGAGGGGAAAAATTGAAAAAAAAAATACTTCACTCTCTCCACTTGTTAAGTCCTGTCGAGTCGGTTCCAACTCATAGGGACCCTGTGTACAACCGAACGAAACACCGGCTGGTCCTGTGCCGTGCTCACAGTCATTGCTTTGTTTGAGCCCACTGTTGCAGACACTGTGTCAGTCCATCTTGTTGAGGGTCTTCCTCTTTTTTCCTTCACTTAAGTTCCACACATTTTTTTATAGAAAGAAGCTAAGAAAGAATAACACAAAACTGATGTTAAATGTTAAATTTTTAGCTTGTTGCTTTGAGTTGACTCCTGTGTTTCTTCCTAGCAATCTCAAGATGAAATGGAACAAAATCAAGCCCTGTTACAGTAAGTATACTGTTTTGGCTTTATTATATGATTTTTGTTATTTTACATATCTAAAATGACTCTCCATTTTCTTTTCTCAGGAGTTTTGGAATTGTTTATTTTGTTGAATAATTGTCTCTTTAGCAGTATATGTTACTTTACAAACATTTTAGATAAGTTTAATTTCATAAGAAAGATTGAATCATATTAAGGTAAGTTGATTCTTTGCCTATTAATATTATTTAAAAAGCAAATTTATAGCATAGCATGAAGAAAGAATTTGTAGAGCTTGTTGAAATTAGACTCCACGCAACTATATTGTACTCTAAAAGACATTATTCTTTCATTTCTTTTAAAACAGTGGTTCTCGAAGTTTGGTCTGTGGATCTCCCAGGACACCCTGAGACCCTTTCTTAATGGCTTACGAGATCAAAACTATTTTCATAATAATACTAACACATTATTTGTCTGTTTCACGTGTTGACATTTGCACTGACAGTGCTAAAACAATCGTGGGTAAAATGCTGGAGACTTAGTAGGAGTCAGGGCAGTGGCATCAAACAGTTCTAGTAGTCATTGTGTTTGCTGTCTACTCAAAATTTTTAAAAAAGTCAGTTCCCTTAAGAAATGTTTGATGAAGCAGAAAAGTTACTCGTTTTATTAAAAAATCCCCACCCTTGAGTTATGTATCTTAGTATTTTGTGTGATGAAATGGGAAGCATTCTTAAAGCACTTCTGTGCATACTGAAGTCTGATGGTTGTCTTGAGGAAAGCACTTGTGCACTTGTAAGCAGAACTAGCTTCTTTTTTCATGGAGCACTTTTTTTTTTTCTTTTTAACTTGGAAAAATAACTGGCAGACAGACTGCTTATTCACACTTGGGTACTCGGCAGACATTTTCTTGAAATTGAATGAAATAAGCTGGTCACTGAAATAAGCTGATGGTATTTGATGCAAGGAAAAAAATTCAAACTTTCAGGTGAAAATCAGAATTGTGGAAATCTTGTCATCATCATCATGACCTTGATGGCTTTCTGACACTTGAAATTTTCTGATGAGATCAGCGGTGATATTTATGAAGGAATTTTTTAAGGGGTTGGCGATTTTTCTAAAGAAATGTGTCAACGTTAGGAAGATCTGCGTAACTCAGTGGCTCAATATTGGACATTTAGGTTGTTTGCAGTTTTGCCTTGTATCAGTAACTATTTTCCAATAATTTAGATATAGTTTTGCTCTGTTTTCAGACTTAATGTCTTAAATTCTGTTTTGTAATTAAGAAAGAAATCCTGCTGTCGACTCTAGTTTTATTTTATTTTCAATCAAATTTTTCTCAATGAATTATATTTTAGGGAAAAAAATCAGCATTCTTTTCTATTTGCCTCAATGATATTATCATTCTATTTGAGTAGTTCCATTTCCATTTTCAAGATAGCTTATATTGACTATTTCTATTTTTGGACAGAGAGAATGCTGAATTTATTATTCTTGCTTAGGATTCAAGTAGTTATGCCTGGTGCATAAAAACTGCTCTTAAAACAGCTGAAACAAGAGGCTTTTTTTTTTTTTTTTTTAAAGGAAGGTGTCTTGATTGCATTTATACAGTAAATTAGATTGAGGGGGAAAAAGTTAACTGATTGCTTTTCTTCAGTCAGCTTTTAATTATCCAAAGGCAGATGATCAAAATTGCAGATTAGGTCTGACCCTTATTTTGCTTTCAACCTCTTCCCTTCAATATTTTATTCCTTTTCTTTACCTGCTCTGAAATACAAGAGTGATAAATAATGTTTGAGAATTTTCTCATTAGTGACTGTATCTAAAACTATAATGTCAAACAGTGTATTTGAGGATGTAGGCTACATAATTCAGGATCATTTTCTCTCTGACACCACCACCCCTATTTGTCAGATAATCATCTCCAAAGTCACTTTCAGACCTAAATGTGGTTTGGCTTGTTTAAACTCTTGATGTTCATCCATTAATTTTTCAGCTCTTTCATTTTTGCAGTCACTTGAAATGTAAATGTTAACAAATTGGTAGTGAAAATAATTGCAGTGATGTAGCAAAAAATGTCCTATTTTAAAAGCCCTTTTAATGAAAAAAAAACTGTACATTTGATTGAGAAAGTGTTTTTATTTTTTCTGCTTTAAAGTGTATTTTTATTTATTAATTAACTTGATCTATTTTTTACAACTAGAACAAAGTGTCCAATGTTTACTGTGTCAGTTCCACAGACTGGACTTTCACTGAGCCACCAAAACATTCAAGGTATGTTTTCATGGGTAGAATCATAAAGAAATTTTGTCTTTGCTAGAAATAGAAGCTTATTTATATATAGATTTATTTACAACTAGGCTGGCCTACCCTACATTGCTTGGGGTTGAGGATCATTAACTATTTTTACATATGAAATCAGTGTTGCTGCTGACCTTGGTTGGATCATGCTACATAGAGTTGCCCATGTGGAAAGCAGCTCAGTTGCAATCAATACCTGCTACTCCAAATGTCTGCTCTTTTGATTTGTTATTTGGGACTAAAATTTAAAAACAGTATTTGTTTTCTCTGTTCATAACATTCTTAATATGTATGGCATGTCTCTCTTGACTGACAGTCACATAGACTAATTGCACCTTGGTTTCAGCTGTCTTAGAGGATGATTATCTTTCTCTCTGAGATGTCCCTTTGTAACTCTTCCAGAGTGAACTTCACATATGTTGCATGACCAAAACCCGCTGCTGTCCAGTCAGTTCCAACTCACAGCAACCCTATACGACAGAGAGTAGAACTGCCTCATAGAGTTTTCAAGGAGCAGCTGGTGGATTTGAACTGCCAGCCTTTTGGTTAGCAGCCGAGCTCTTAATCACTGCGCCACCAGAGCTCCATGTTGCATGACAGTGTAGTAAAAATTCTTAGTGGTCAAGAAAACCTTGTATTATAAGAAAAGAGCACAGTGACATGATATTTGAAATTGAAAAGTTAAATTTAAAAAACTATCTTCTCCTGCTCTGTTGTTACTGAAAGTGGCCCGACAATAGCAGTACCCCATTTTGCCCACCACCAACTCTTGCATTTACTTCTAGTGCCTAGATTTTGGACTCCACTACTATTTGTTCATTCTTTAGCAAATATTTGTTGAGTCTACTACGTGCCAGGTGTATGGGTGCTAAAATAAACCAAGAATCCTTAAAGTATAGTTAACCTGTCTTGGATCATGAGGATATCAGGTTGGGTCTGAAACATTCTGTCATTGTTGGAAAGCAAGGATGCTTTCAGGGGTGTCTGGGGGCAGTGCTGAAAGGATAAAGGGCTAGCCAAGCTGTGATGATTTAAGCAGGAGAAAAGTTCCATTAGTTCATGGAAATAAGTTTGTGAAGAGACTATGAGTTCATAGTGATACTCAAAAAATAAAAGTTACCCGTTGTCGTCAAGTCAGTTCTGACTGATAAGAGACCGTACAGAACAGAGTAGAACTGCCCCATAGGGTTTCCAACGCTGTAACCTTTATGGAAGCAGACTGCCACAGCTTTCTCCTGTGGAGTGGCTGGTGGGCTCAAACCGCTGACCTTTCAGTTAGCAGCTAACTACTTAACCACTGCGCCACAAGGGCTCCTAAATAAAAGTTAATAGTGTACAAAAGGTTGTCTAAATACAAAAAAAAAGTACCTATAGTAGGATGTTTTAAAATTTTTAATGATTTTAAGAAATAAGGACCTGGTAATATATGTGCATTTTGTTTTCTCTATTAAATACATGTCTGTTTAATACTGATGGAATAATTTGGAAAAGGATAGTGAGAATAGCAGCACAACTGGAAGAATGTATTCGATGTCACTGACTTGTACGTATAGAAATTTTTGAAATGGTGTGTCTTTGGCTATGAATATTTTCACCAAAAAAAAAAGGTCCTCCAAGGTCGAGAAGGGAGAATGTTGACATCGTGAGGTTGTTAACCAATGTCAAAACAATATGTGTACTGACTGTTTAATGAGAAAATATTTGTTATGTAAACCTTCATCTAAAGTACGATAAAAATAAATGTCTGTTTATAAAGCTTGGGATATTTCCACTTTTTACTGTGTAAGTAGAAAAGGAAACAAACAGAGAATTGTGAGTAAGCCCTGGAAAAAGTAAGAATTGTACCAAGGAAAGGAGGAGCACACAGCAGCAGCAGTCACATATAAAAACATGTAAGAAGTTGGGCCTTACTATGTCCTAGTATGATAAATGAAGGAGACTTTTCTGCACAGAGTAGATATCCTATTAAGGAGACCTTTCTGCACAGAGTAGATCCTTTATCTCTTAGAAAGTAAAACCTTAGGTGGCCCTGCTAATCACAGCAAGATACTAAAATAGAAGACATAAGTTTCCAGTAATGCTAATAGGATAGTTCAGTGTGTGATAGTAACAGGAAGTTAAGTAAAGCTTATGTAACACTGGCCAAGTGAAACTTAAAAACAGCACTGTGGGGCAAAACATTAGGTTATAAAAAATAACTTTTGTGAAGTTTAAGTGTTTTAGTGATACAGTGTGTAAAGCCAGATAATTGTCTGCTCAGGTTTGAATTACCATGGGAGAAGCAGTAAGTCCCATACACCAACAAAAAGTCAGTTACTTGATAGATCCTGTCACTTGGGCTGATCCAAGAAGTTATTTGTTTCCTTTTGGGTCTGATAAAATATTTGTGACCTTGGGAAGATAACAAAATAACTATTACTTTAATCCTAAGAAGATACAGGAACAAGTAAAGAAACAAGGAAGAACTTGTTATTTAGAATTAGTTCAAGAGGAGTAGTAAGTTTTATAACCATTGTATTTATATGTGTTTTGTCTTTTATTTAAGATGTTTGAAATGTAAAGAAAAAAAATTAATCATGTTAAATTTATAGTTTAAATTGTTTAAGGGAATTTAAGTTGTCAATCAGTGTTTAATGCTAAAGAAACAGTAATTCTTCAAGTGTTAGACATAGAAGTTTAATAAATTAACCATTAAACAAATGTAATTATGAAGAGTGATGTTCCTCTCCAACTACAAAAACCTTTGTGATTTTTAAGAAATTGAATCAATATCAAATAACTTACTATTTTAATTCAGACTATGCCAAATATACCTTTAAAATTTGGTGAAAATCTGTTTGGCACATTTCATGAGATACAGTTATAGATAGAAACAGTTATTTTTATACAGCTATAGAGGGACCATCTTAGAGGTTGAAGTCCTTTTTTGCATGGATGTCTTACACAATTTGAGATAGAAGTATCATGAGAATGTCATGCCTTGAGCATCCCTTTTTCTCCCTTGAGTTTTGACTTTGATAACAGATGTCAGCAATAGTTAGACAAAGATCCCTTCCCATTTTTTCTCATACCCAATTTCATTTTGTAGAAAGATATGGTTCTACTATGTCCTGCGTTTCCCATAGCTCCAAACTCCTGCCCCATTTGGCCTTCTGAGAGCCGTGGGATGTCTTGTGGTACTGTTGGTTTCTATGCACTGTGGCCACCACTCTCATTGAACTTCTTAGTCCACAGGTCTTTTATTGGCTGTTCCTTTAAGAGTCCCACATGCATCAGGATTATCACTTTGTGATATTTCTTGCTGCCCTGAAGCTGCTGTTGACTAGAGACCCATAGAATTGGTAGTTCCTTTTCCTTCTGGCAGTTCATTGCAGCTCCCTTTTGCCTTTTTCCTTTCAGAGTGTTCAAAACAGGCAACTCATTTTATTATCATCCCAGACTATAGGTTGAATCATATATAAGTAAACTTAAGTGATAACTTCTTTAGCTGACTCTATTGCATCACAGTCCTGTCTCCTCCCTCCCAATTCAGAGAGTAATCCTAACCAAATTGCAGAATGATCAAAATAAGCAAACTACCTTCAGTAACAGCATTGGCCTTAAAATAGTTTTGTTTGTAAATTAAAATTCAGCTTCTCTTAGCATTTTCTTTGCACTGGGCACTTTAGAATTATTTCGCATAGTACAAAAAAATCTCATTCCATTACATTTTTTTCTCTCAAGTGATAAGTAGAAAATGTACAAAATCTGTTAATGATTTAATAAAGGATATATAAGAATTCTTTTTATATTTGTAAAGGCTAGTTTAAGTAAATTTTGTAGCTAAGAAATGAGAATTTCTTATAAATGTGTTTACTTTTTAATATCAAATTACTATAAATTATTTTATATAATTTATCAGCTTTTTACAGTAGCAATTATTGGCATAAAAGAATGATCATTATGATGATGAAGTTGTTAAAGACAACATGAGAGATGATGCCTCTGGGTGTTTTTACTTTACAATTCAGAGGAGAAGGAAGGTGAAATCTTTTTCTCTGTTTTTAAATTTATAATTCTCCTCTCCCTAAGGGCTATTAAAAAAAAAAAAAAAACTCCTTATAAAGATAACTGAAGATATACTATTGTTTTAAAATATTTCTTTCATTGGTATTAAATTTTAAGCAACAAGAGATATAAAATTTTGAATAACTTTAAGATACAGATAGTGTAATATAGCGTCAGTGCTTAGATTCTAAAGCTAGGGTAAGAAATGATTTATTCTTATGACTGTTTGCTTATCATTCTGTGAGGGGGTGGAATGCCATGGTGTTAACTCTCCTAGCTGATTTTCATCATCAAGTGGCCAAGATGAAGGGAGAAAAAAACAGGCTTTACAGGATTTGAAGACAGGTTGTTCCCCTGGAAGACCTGTTGTACTGATAATGCATTCTGAGATTCAGCAGATAATTAACCTGCTTTTATTCTAGCTATATAGATATTGCCTAATTAAAAGAAACCAAAAGAGTGACTCAAAGTATGATTGAAATGCCAGTGAGCCCTAAATTCCTTCCCAAGTATGTCAGAATACCTGTGTCTTGATGGTGAAGGTAGGAGGCAAGAGAAGGTGGAGTAGGAGAAAATATCTATTTTCCTAATCCCCTGAACCTAACTTGACATGAATTTCTATCAGCCAGCTCAGTTCAGGGGGGAGGGTAGGGAGTGGGTTTGTGTAGGAGAAGTCACAGAGGCAAGGCAGCAATCCTCCATCCTCCTTGGAATGATCTCCTGATTACTTTTGGCCCCTACATGGGGTATTCTTTTTCACAGTATTAATTCATTTAAACATTAGTACCTGAATTCTCGCCTTCCATGCAGGAGACCTGGATTCTGTTCCAGGCCATTGTACCTTGTGTGCAGCCGCCACCCATCTGTCAATGGTGGTTTGCATGTTGCTATGATGGTAAACAGGTTTCAGCTGACCTTCCAGGCTAAGAGGGACTAAGAAAAGAGGCCTAGTGATCTCCTTCCAAAAACCAGACAATGAAAACCCTATGGATCACAACGGTCAGATCTGGGCTGATCATGGGGATGATGCAGGACCAGGCAGGATTTTGTTCTGTTGTGTGTGAGGTTGCCATGAGTTGGGGACCGACTCAGCATCAGTTAAGAACAACAACCCGTAATGGAGAAGAGAATAATGCTGAGAAAGTGGACATGATTTTTCCTCATGTAGTTGCAAATGCTTAGAATAACTTAGCCGAAATAGAGAGTTAGGTTGGGTTTTACCTAAAGTAATTTCAAATATTACAATTTTACCTAACTCTATTATATAAAATATTTTTTAAGAAGTAGAATAATTTACTTTTACATTAAAAAATTGATACAGTATTTATAGAATATTTCCTCTGCCACATGAATGTGTCTGAAAATTCATTTCAAGATATATGATTAAGAAATGCTGACTGAGACACAGTATGTTTTAGTGCTTTAATAAAATTGTAATGAAAACGTGTATTGTTAATCTTCTAGGGCCCGAGGCTGAAAATACTGGAGTTTTGCCACACACAAAAAAGGTTGGTCTGTATAATACAGATTACCTACATAGATCATGGGTTTGGATTTAAAAAAAAAAAAAATCGTGTTGATTTAAAATATCAAGTCCATTTAGGCTCTTCCCCTAGGCAGGGATACGAAAAAACCATTTCAAATAGCTAGAAATCTGTTCTTGTCTAACAACCCGTTCCAGTATTTATTCTTCCTTATCGCCAATAAAATAGTGTTTTCTTAATCTGTGTTTCTTATCCAACAATGTAAGCCTATTATTCTTTATCTACAGGAGAAACACATAACTTGTTATCAAACTAGTTTCTGAGATGATGTAGCAAAAAATGCCTTGTGTTGGTTTGTCTATTATCTTAGTTCCTTTAATATTTCCTCCTAGATACTGCTTTCCCATCTTCTAGTTGCTAATCCGTAACCATATATCAAGTGACTGCTTTGGCTTTGCTTTCTGCTTGGTGCTGTGGGAAATCAGAGGACTGTAATGACTCTGCCTGCAATCGACTCACACTCTCCTTAAGGAACCCAAACAGTCAAGGACCTCCCCAGGCCAGCCGGACCATACCTGTCTGTATCTTACTTCATCTCAGCTGTGCCTTACACATTCCTGCCTCCATGCCTTTGCTCAAGTCAGGAGTCAGAAGGCATGGAAACAGCATAAAATTTGGAACCGGATAGGCCTGCGTTCCAATGCCAACTCTCATTTACATCCAGAAAATAAACCAAAAGCAGTATCTGTTTCACAGGGTTATTGTGAAGACTGAGTGCAGTGGTGCTTCATGGTGTCTGGCACCTCATTGGTATTTAACAGATACATGTTCCCTCCCTTCTTTCACTCCACAAATCTTTCATTTCTGGCTCAAGTCTTTTCTCCTCTGTGGATCTGTTTCAGATGATTCTGATGATATTGACCAAAGTAATTGTGCCCTCTTTAGCATTCATGATTTCACTGACTATATCAGTATTTCCCAATTGCTTGATGTTTAGAGAAAAACAATTTTTTGGGCAAAAAAGTTTGGAGAAGGATGTATCCTAAAGCCTCCACTTAGAGATTTACAACACACGTGCTTTGAAAAGTCCTGCACTAAAGAAACCTATTTAAGTTTGTTTAACCAAACATTTTTTCAAACTTAGTCTTGAAAACTCCCTCCCTACACTGGAAGAACTATTCTTGCAAAACACTAGTGCATTGTGGAACTATTTGATGCAGTACACGAGTTTATGCCATTCATTTGATTTCATACAGTGCTTGGTGACATTATTTATACTTTATTTTATCTCTTATGTATTTCTGCCTTGAATCTTCAGTTAGAAATTAAGTTCCTTTAGGTCAGAGCCCATGATATATACTTCATTACACCTAAAGCTTTGAATTTAGTAGACAAAGAACTTCAAATAGGAGGAAGGCCTTCAGCTGTGACTTAAACAATCGATAGGATCTGGTCCTTGAATTCCTTCCTAATTGTCTTTATCTTTCTGAGCAAATTGTAGTTTGCATTACTAACAAATCAACACATTAAGTTAAACTCTATATTCTACATAAAGACAAGATAAATGGTAGCAGATGGAAAAGGAGGGAAGGGAGAATAAATGGTTTTCACTTCTCTATTTGTCTTAGTTATCTAGTGCTGCTATAACAGAAATAGCACAAGTGGATGGCTTTAACAAATAGAAGCTTATTCTCTCACCGTTAGGAGGCTAGAAGTCCGAATTCAGGTCACCAACTCCAGGAGAAGGCTTTCTCTCTTACTGTCAGCTTTGGGAGAAGGTCTTTGTCATGAATATTCCCTGGTCCAGGTTGCAGAGACCCCGGGTATAAAAGACGTGCTCCCCTCCCTGCCCTTCTTTCTTCGTGGCGTGAGGTCCCTCTCCTCTCTATTCACTTCTCGCTTCTGCATCTCAGTAGAGACTGACTCAGAATACACCATAATCCTGTAATTGAGTCCTGCCGTATTAACATAATTGCCTCTAATCTTGCCTCATTAACAACATAGAGATTAGGATTTACAGCATATAGGAAAATTACATCAGATCACAAAATGGAGGACCACACAATACTGGGAATCATGGCCTAGCCAAGCTGACACACATTTTGGGGGGACACAGTTCAATCCATAATGCTATTCAAACCAAATCAGAATTTAGAGGGCTTACAATTTACAGTACAGTTACTCTGTCAGAGTGGTGTATTAATGGAAGGTGGATTTGATTTTTGGAAATAGCTAAAAGCCATTGAAACCCATTCTGTTATTTAAGGTCAAGCACACTAACAGTTTTTAGTGTTGAAAAAAAGTCCAGTGCCATTAAAGTATTGAGACTTATTTTCTTGTATGGCTGATAAACTAATTTTGAAAGCAATTTCAGTAGAGGAATCCCAGTAATATTTTGAGCTTTGGAAACATTGTGAGAACAGGTATAGCCTATTAAGGTGACGTCTTTGAAAAATAATAGTCATTTAGAAATATAAGTTCTGGTTTTTTTTTTGTTTAAAACAACTACAACCCAGAGCCATTAATTTATTGGTCAGGACTCATAATATTTATACAGCAGTGTGCCTGCCTTTTCTTTCTCCTTCTGACTTGTGTCTTTCAGCCTTTTTACTTCACATTTACATATTCATACAAAAGTGAGGATTAAAAAGAAGATGAAACTACCCGAATTTTAATTCTGCTAACAATTTTTTATAGAATTCCATGGAAGTTTTTAGAAAGGGAGAATTTTATAACCATTAACTACAGTGAAATTTTGAGATCATCTGTTAATTTAACTGTGTCATCTCTGTATCTTCCTTTAGCATGGATAATTTAAACTTAGCTGAATAGATAATTTGCCATCTGTATTTATGATCCAGCCAAATTTACACTTAGTCCGTTATTAAATACTTAATCGTGTGTTCAGAGTCATTAGTGATTTGGTATAAGAAAATGGTCGAGTATTCTTTTTATTTATGGAAGGAAGGAAAGTTGGTAAAAGTTTCAGGGGATAACTTACCAACAGGATAAATTATAAAACTGTAGTTTTTATTTAAAATACTTTTTTGTATATGCTATAATGATGGAATTTCTATTTGGAATACACAGGCTTTAAGTGAAGATAGAGACTCTCCTGAAATTAGCCTTCTCTCAGGTACTGCTATTACAGTGTCTGGTATGGTTTCTGTGAAAGAGAAATCATTAACTGAGCCAGAGAAGATAGCAGCACAAAATACATTTTCTGAGCCTGGAAAGAAAGTCACATTGATCATGACTTCTGAAGATACCAAAGATGAAGAAAGCTCTGTTGAAACTTTTGTATCTGCCTTAGAAAGGTTACGAACATCACCAGAAAGCACCCAGGAGGAAAGATCATTTCAACTAATGAATGATTTTGAACCTAGCGAGTTGGTGAACCCGTTGAGTGACTCTCTGAGTTCCACACAAACCTCCTTGAATGACTTGTGGGCATGTCACAGAGATGTACTGGAAAACACAGAGGATGATGCATTGCCAGTTGAGTTGGTAGCAGCCCTGAACACATTGTCAGAAGCCATGGTGGGACCAGTTTGTCACATAAAAGAGGGAGGCAGCAGTCCCAGTGCTAGAAATGAATGTCTAGGTGTGGAGCCCAATGTGTCTCAGACTAATGAAGATTGTACACAGATGGCAGAGATGAATCTTGAGTCTTTTTGTTCTATGCCACCATTTGAACAATATTCCAAGTCAGCTGAGCTGCAGGACGGAGATCTATCAGTGCAACAAGTAAGTGCAAGTGTGAGTCTATGAATTTTGCCTTTTATAGTAACCTTTAACAAGTCTTCATTGCCCACATACCCATTGCCGTTGAGTCAGTTTCAACTCATAGCGACCCTACAGGACAGAGTAAAATGACCTCGTAGGATTTCCAAGGAGTGGCTGGTGAATTTATCTGCCGACCTTTTGGTTAGCAGCTGAGCTCTTAACTACTGTGCCACCAGGGCTCCTCCTTGCCCACATACGCTAGTTAAATTCAAACCCTCTAACAAAATATCAACAACCCAGCAGACACTTTGTGACTTTGAAGCATTCAGTGATCTTCTTTGTGGTTCCTGGGGTACAGTTTCCAAGGGGTTAAACCCATAAACCAAACCTATTGCCATTGAGTCGATTCTGAATCACAGCAATCCTATAGGACAGAGTAGAACTGCCCCATAAGGTTTCCAAGAGTGTAAATCTTTATGGAAGCAGACTGCCACATCTTTCTCCCATGGAGCACCTGGTGAGTTCGAACCACCGACCTTTGATTACCAGCTGAACACTTTAACCACTGTGCAACAACGGAGTTAAAGTGGATAGGTTTCTTGCTAACAGACCTGAAAAATATATGATTACGAGAAGAAAAAAAAAAACCTAAATCCGTTGCCATTCAGTTGATTCCGACTCATAGCAGCTTGCTTATGTATAGGAAGGAAAGAATTTCTTAGCAGAATTTACCCTGTTAGCTCAGAAAATTTCTCTCTACTTGGTTACAGAGTAGAAATGGAATTCTTGTTAGGTGCCGTCAAGTCAGTTCCAACTCATAGTGACCCTGTGTACAGCAGAAAGAAACACTGCCCTGTCCTGCACTATCCTCACAATCCTTGTTATGCTTGAGCCCACTTTTACGGCCACTGTGTCAGTCCATCTCGTTGAGGGTCTTCCTCTTTTTCCATGACCCTCTACTTTACCAAACATGATATCCCTCTTTGGGGACTGATCCCTCCTGATTACACGACCAAAGTACAAGAGACGAAGTCTTGCCATCCTTGCTTCTAAGGAACATTCTGGCTGTACTTCTTCCAAGACAGATTTCTTTGTTCTTCTGGCAGTTCGTGGTATATTCAATATTCTTTGCCAGTACTGTAATTTCAAAGGCATCAGTTCTGCTTCGGTCTTCCTTATTCATTGTCTAGCTTTTGCATGCATATGAGGCGATTGAAAATACCATGGCTTGGGTCAGGCACACCTTAGTCCTCAAAGTGATGTCTTTGTTTTTTTTTTATCACTATAAAGAGGTGTTTTGCAGCAGATTTGCCCAACGCAATATGTTGTCTGATTTCTTGACTGCTGTTTCCATGGGCGTTGATTGTGGATCCAAGTAAAATGAAATCCTTGACAACTTCAATCTTTTCTCCGTTTATCATGATGTTGCTTATTGGTCCAGTTGTGAGGATTTTTGTTTTCTTTATGTTGAGGTGTAATCCATACTGAAGGCTGTGGTCTTTGATCTTCATCAGTAAGTGCTTCAACTCCTCTTCACTTTCAACAAGCATGGTTGTGTCATCTGCATATCGCACTCAATTAGTAAGTCTTCTTCCAATCCTGGTGCCACATTCTTCTTCATGTAGTCCAGCTTCTCAGATTATTTGCTCACTATACAGATTGAATAATTATGGTAAAAGTATACAGCCCTGATGCACACCTTTTCTGACTTTAAACCATGCATTATCCCCTTGTTGTTAGGTGCTGTCAAGTCAGTACCGACTCAGTGACGTACGTACAACAGAAAGAAACACTGCCTGGTCCTGCGACACCTTAACAATTATTGCCATATTTGAGCACATTGTTGCAGGCACTCTGTCAGTCCATCTTGTTGAGGGTCTTCTTCCTTTTTCCTGACCTCTACTTTACCAAGCATGATGTCCTTCCCCAGGGCCTGATCCCTCCTGATAACATGTCCAAAGTATGTGAGATGAAGTCGTGCAGTCCATGCCTCCAAGGAGCATTCTGGCTTTATTTCTTCTGGGACAGATTTGTTCGTTCTTCTGGCAGTAGAAGAACTTTGAAGAGGTCTTTTGCAGCAGATTTGCCCAGTGCAGTATGTTGTCTGATTTCTTGACTGCTGTTTCCATGGTATATTCAATATTCTTTGTCAACGCCACAATTCAAATGCATCAATTCTTTGGTCTTCTTTATTCATCGTCCAGCTTTCACATGCATATTAGGCGATTGAAAATACCTTGGCTTGGGTCAGGCATACGTGAGTCCTCAAAGTGACATCTTTGCTTTTTAACACTTTAAAGAGGTCTTTTGCAGCAGATTTGCCCAACGCAGTACGTCGTCTGATTTCTTGGCTGCTCCTTCCATAGCATTGATTGTGGATCTAAGTAAAATGAAATCCTTGACAACTTCAGTCTTTTCTCTGTTTATCATGAAGTTGCTTATTGGTCCAGTTGTGAGGACTTTTGTTTTCTTTGTGTTGCGGTGTAATCCGTACTGAAGGCTGTGGTCTTTGATCTTCATCAGTAAGCACTTAAAGTCCTCTTCACTTTCAGCAAGCAAAGCTGTGTGTGTCGTCTGCATATGCAGGTTGTTAATGAGTCTTCCTCCAATCCTGATGCCCTGTTCTTCTTCATATAGTCCAACTTCTCAGATTATTTGCTCAGCATACAGATTGAATATAAGTACAGCAAAAGGGTACAACCCTGACGTACACCTTTCCTGACCTTAAACCGCCCAGTATCTCCTTGTTCAGTGAACCACTGCTTCTTGATCTATGTACAGGTTACACATGAGCATAATTAAGTGTTCCGGAATTCCCATTCTTCGAAATGTTATCCATAATTTGTTATGATCCATAAAGTCAAATGTCTTTGCATAGTCAGTAAAACAAGTAAACATCTTTCTGGTATTCTCTGCTTTTAAGCCAAGATCCATCTGATTTTAGCAGTGATATCTCTCGTTCCACCTCCTCATCTGAATCTAGATAAATTTCTGGCAGTTCCTTGTCGATGTACTGCTGCCTCCGTTTTTGAACGATCTTCAGCAGAATTTTACTTGTGTGTGGTATCAATGATATTGTTAGATAATTTCCGCATTTTGTTGGATCAGCTCTCTTTGGAATGGGAACAAATATGGATGTCTTACAATCAGTTGGCTTCCAAATGTCTTCCAAATTTCTTGGCATAGATGAGTGAGTGCTTCCAGTATTGCATCTGTTGAAACGTCTCAACTGGTATACTTTCAATTCCTGGAGCCTTGTTTTTCGCTAATGCCTTCAGTGTAGCTTGGACTTCTTCCTTGAATACCATTGGTTCTTGATCATATGCTACCCCCTGAAATGGTTGAACATTGACCAATTCTTTTTGGTTCAGTGACTCTGTGTATTCCTTCCATCTTCCCTTGATGTTTCCTATGTCATTCAGTATCTTTCCCATGGAATCCTTCAGTATTTCAACTCGAGGCTTGAGTTTTTTCTTCAGTTCTTTCAGCTTGAGGAATGCCAAATGTTTTCTTCCCTCTTGGTTTTTTAACTCCAGGTCTATGCACATTTCATTATAATACTTTATTTTGTGTTCTAAAGCTGCCTTTTGAAATCCTCTGTTCAGCTTTTTTACATGGTCATTTCTTACGTTCACTTTAGTTACTGTACATTCAAGGGCAAGTTTCAGAGTCTTTTCTGACATCCATTGTGGTCTTTTCTTTTTTTCCTGTCTTTTTTAATGACATTTTGCTTTCTTCATGTATAATGTCATTGATGTCATCCCACAGCTCATCTGGTCTTCAGTTGTTAGTGTTCAGTGTGTCAAACCTATTCCTGGGATGGTCTCAGAATTCAAGTGGGATATACTCAAGGTCATACTTTGGCTCTTGTAGGCTTGTTTTAATTTTCTTTAACTTCATCTTGAACTTGCATACAAGCAATTGATGGTCTGTTCTGCAGTTGGCCCTGGTCTTGTTCTTTTTTTTTTTTTTTAGCTAACTTATTTTATTGTTGTACTTTAAGTGAAAGTTTACAATTCAAGTTAGTCTCTCATACAAAAATTTATACATACACTGTTATGTGACCCTAATTGCTTTCCCTATACTGTGACAGCACATTCCTCCTTTCCACCCCTGATATCCTGTGTCAATTCAACCAGCTCCTGACCCTGTCTGCCTTCTCATCTCACCTCCAGACAGGAGCTGCCCATT